TCTTTCTTGATCTTTTTTATTCAATACAACATGACATCCGGTCCTCAAATTACTAATGGAGTCCTGGTGGTGGGGTGAAGCATCCGCAGCGGCTCCCCCGCCCCCGCCACCCACACCCACTACCAACAATACTAGTGCGACCCCACCCACCGCCCACCCGGCCACCACCACCACCGTCCGCCGCCCGAGGCCAGCGCCCCCGAAGCCACGTGTGGGTGCCAGGGGGAGGGGCTTAGGCCGAGGGCGGGGCGGAGGGCGGGGCGAAGGACGGGGAGGGGCCTGGCTGGTGGAGGCTAAAGGTGGCTGCTGGGGCTCCGGCCCGCCCCTCCTGCACCTTCACCAGGAAACCTTAGCTCGAATGCGGCAATGTTTGAAAAGAGCGAATGGGCTTGTCAGGAGCTGCGGCTACTTGCTAGTGCCGCGGCGGTGGCACAGCGCGCGCGGCACCAGCGGCCGGGAGGAGGAAACAGGCTCACAAGTCAAATATGTTTATATAAAAAAAGGGGGCCCAAACATGACAAAAACTAATGATATTAATTAACACTTTTTTTTCCTTTTTCTTTTCTTTTTTAAATGGTGCAGTGATGGGTGGATGGGGCGGTACGGGGCGGCCGGGCGGCACAGCTGCCCCTCGCCGCCCACACCCCGGAGACAACAGGAGCAACAACACCTGCTGCTGCTGCTGCTGGTGTTGTAGTGGTGATGGTAGTGCGGGGACGCTCTGCGGTACCGGGTCTCACTAGCTGAGGGGGTGGGGGTACGGGGCCTGGCGGGGAGGGGAGGGACACCCACTGCATACCCGACCCCGCTCGTCGGAGGGGAGGGGAAGGGGGGGCTGGGAGGGAGGCAGGGGACAGGGGCGGACGGCGGAGGGGGCGGGGGGAAGGCGTGGGAGAGGGTGTGGTAAACTTGACTACGGCCTCGCACAGCCGATTTTTTCGGTCGTATTTACCACTTCCCTCTCCCCCCACACTCCCCCTCACACACGCCACGCCCCCCCTGTTCCCAGGGCCTCCCACCCACCCGCCCTCCCCCAACCTCCAGGGCAGGGCCTGGGAGGGGGGCGACCGGCGAGTGCCACCACCACCCACCCTAGGCACGCACGCCCAGGGGGGCAGACCGGCGAGTGCCTCCACGCCCCCTCCCCGCAGGTCTCCGCTCACCTATCGTACCACACTAAAACAAGATTAGAGGCGCGAGGGGCCCCACCAAACCCACGGCGGGGTCCTCGCCCTCACAAAAACATAGCAAGTTTTAAAGGAATGTTCATCACGTTGTGTAGTTGTGTCGAGTGTCGCAGTGTCTGGGTCGAGATACACAACGTAACTACACCAACGCACCAGCAATATAAGGATTCCCCCAAATGAATCTAAAATAGCCAAGCAGGGTGGGTACCCGGCGCCGCACGCCCATCCCACACCGAACCCATCGCTAGCGCCCGCCCACACCCCAAGGTGGTGGGCGGAGCCAGGACCGAGTGGTTGGGAGGCGGGCGTGGTTGCCATGGTGACCATCCTGGGCGCTGCACCCCAATGGGGCTTGACAAGAACAAAAAATTAGAAGCTTAACTACAATCCGCCGTCAACTGTTGAGACCCTGATAAGCATGGCAAGAAAGAATTGAAAGAAAAAAAAAAACACTTTCTTTACATGACATGTTGCAAGAAAGACGAAAAAAACTTTTGAAAGAACTGTATTTCTCCTACACAATAATAATTATAATCATAATATCCATTATTTAATCAGCATGGTCTATCGTAATCATAGTATAAGTGGTCAAGCTCGCTGGCAGAGGCAACAGAGCCTTTGCACAAAGCGGCAATGTTAACAAACAAGTGATGTAAACAATGCAGGGAAGTGGTGGTTGGGAAACAGAAACAGTCATGGTTGTGTGACGTGCCTTACATTAGTATTATGTAGTACAAGAGGAAATTTTTTCAACTTCATTTTTGTTTTTTGCAATATGTATACATTTGCTATTCCTTTAAGAAAAATTGACAAAGACACACCTAACAAGAAATTACATGATACGGAAATGTACCAACTTCATTCAACCAACACAAAAATACAGCGCACCCTCTCCTTCCTTTCTTATTTACCAGAGAAACTAACTTCCAGACAAACTAAAATAAAAAAGGCATCGCAAGGCAGCGATCTTCATTAAAAAGAAAAAAAAAAACACTTTCTTTACATGACATGTTGCAAGAAAGACGAAAAAAACTTTTGAAAGAACTGTATTTCTCCTACACAATAATAATTATAATCATAATATCCATTATTTAATCAGCATGGTCTATCGTAATCATAGTATAAGTGGTCAAGCTCGCTGGCAGAGGCAACAGAGCCTTTGCACAAAGCGGCAATGTTAACAAACAAGTGATGTAAACAATGCAGGGAAGTGGTGGTTGGGAAACAGAAACAGTCATGGTTGTGTGACGTGCCTTACATTAGTATTATGTAGTACAAGAGGAAATTTTTTCAACTTCATTTTTGTTTTTTGCAATATGTATACATTTGCTATTCCTTTAAGAAAAATTGACAAAGACACACCTAACAAGAAATTACATGATACGGAAATGTACCAACTTCATTCAACCAACACAAAAATACAGCGCACCCTCTCCTTCCTTTCTTATTTACCAGAGAAACTAACTTCCAGACAAACTAAAATAAAAAAGGCATCGCAAGGCAGCGATCTTCATTAAAAAGAAAAAAAAATCTAAGAGGAATTTCAAAAAAGGTCCAAAGTAACCCAGCCTGACCATTGGCCAGACGGGATACTATCCTCTTATCAAATATATTTCACGAACGCAATGGTTCTCTCAACTAAAAATAATAATTTTGCTACAACAGCTTGTAAAAACTGACCAACCTATTTTTTATATATATTTCCATTCTTATTCAGAACTGGACAGACAAAATGAAAACTTAAGGAAAGAGCCAAGTAGTCTTGAGAGACGAGTAAAGGGTGGCTGGCCTCTCGGGTGTTCAAAAAAGTCTTCACGTTGTTCAACAATGATGGAGGAGATAACGGCGAGAAGTCTTCGCAGCGACAGTACCCACCGGCGCCTCGGCCAGCGTTGCGTCACCGGTCACGGCCACTCGCGTGACCCGCGACCTGGCAACCTTCACGACGTCAAGGTGGCGGAAGTGAAGAGGTCACCCGGGGCGGCCGGCCAAGCCAAGCCAGGCTCGCGGCGGCAACCACAACAGTCGGATGGCGCCACCGCGGCGGCTTCGGCAGAGGCACGGGGTCGCGCCTCGGCCGCCCGAACGGCTACGTGGGAGAGCACACCTTGAGGCGGTGGACGCGAGCTGGCAGCGAGATCTTCAGGGCTGTCCCGGTGGGTCTGACGACGACGTCCACGAAGCCTCCCTACCCTTTCATCACAAAGTATCGCTTGCTACTTCGAGTATATATTCATATAATATACATAAATGTATGTGTAGTATATATATATAATCACTGGTTAAATAGCAATATATTTTCCCTTTTTTCTTTCCAGAGGTCCAGCCACCCGTGACGCAATCCCTAGGACAACCAACCCATCTATAACGGCGCTACCGCTACTGACAGAGTCACTTACTCCTGCCAGGGGGATAAGGTTCAGCCACGTCCCGTCAGCATCCTCCACGCCCTCGTCTGGCGCACACCCCACACTTACACGCTCTTTTCCGTCGGTTCTGATCGAATGTTTCTTTTCCAATGGTTGTCTCAAAGGTGTAGTCCGATTTTTACCGATCTTATTTTTCTTTTGCTTGTCCATTTTGGCTTCGAATTTCATGTTGCAGGCGGACGAGAGATGATTCCTCACGGCCCGCCTTCCTTGCCACCGAAAAAGGTGTTGGTTGTGGCTGCTTGCTCGCTCGCTTTCTTGCTGTTTTACTCGCTTTTGTTCTTGCTGTAGCTGGTGTTCTGCTGGCGGGGTGAGTAGGCTGGCAGAGGGGCGAAGGCGGAGGGAGGGAGTGGGGCCGTGGTCATAGTAGAAGGGAAAGTGGTAGAAGTAGGAGGAGGAGGAAGAATAGAGGAAGGATTATAGTAGTAATAGTAGTGGTAGTAGTAGTAGTAGTAGTAGTAGCAGACGTAGAAGTAGTGGTGGTGGTGGTGGTGGCTGCTTGATACTGCTGCTGGAAACTCTAGCCGAGAGCCAGATCGTGTATATGAAGGCAATAAGAGTTAGCAATTAAGAGATAGTGACGACTCGTGTATTACAATGTTTTTTTTTTTAGCGGTCCGTTAACAAGATAAATTGGAAAGCAGAAAAAACTGTTCGTTTGAAATTTGTTTACAATATTTAGGAGGCGCGATCACTTCACTTCGAGGTCATCATCGTGACGAACTCTGTTGGGGAAAGAGAGACGAATTAGACATTTCATAAAATAGTATCTTTTGAAATATAAACAATCATAAAGCCAAAAGTGCAGTGTGTATACATTTACATATGCGTATAATATACGTGTATGAATGTGCGTGTGTGTATATGTACGTGTACGTGTATGAATGTATGCATGTGTGTATGTATGTATGTGTACGTATACGTGTATGAATGTATGCATGTGTGTATGTATGTATGTATGTGTACGTATACGTGTATGAATGTATGCATGTGTATGAATGTATGTGTAAATGTACGTGTACGTGTATGTGTATGCATGTCTGTATGTGTACGTGTATGTGTATGCATGTCTGTATGTGTACGTGTATGTGTATGCATGTCTGTATGTGTACGTGTATGTGTATGCATGTCTGTATGTGTACGTGTATGTGTATGCATGTCTGTATGTGTACGTGTATGTGTATGCATGTCTGTATGTGTACGTGTATGTGTATGCATGTATGTGTATGCATGTATGTGTATGCATGTATGTGTATGCATGTATGTGTATGCATGTATATGTATGTGTATGCATGTATGTGTATGTGTATGCATGTATATGTATGTGTATGTGTATGCATGTATATGTATGTGTATGTGTATGCATGTATATGTATGTGTATGTGTATGCATGTATATGTATGTGTATGTGTATGCATGTATATGTATGTGTATGTGTATGCATGTATATGTATGTGTATGTATATGCATGTATATGTATGTGTATGTATATGCATGTATATGTATGTGTATGTATATGTATGTGTATGTATATGCATGTATAAGTATGTATGTACATATATGTTATATGCATGTATGTGTATACATGTACATGTATGCATATATTACATAGTGCATAAAAAGACTTCCACCCAAAAGCAACGAACTACGTACGACAGCACACCAACAATTTCAGAGATAAAAAGTAGTATATCATGTACTTCTCTGCATGGAAACGTACCAGCTGCAGGTGCACCGGGACAGTTCGCAATTCGAGCACCGTCACGGTACTTTCAACTACCTCCCACCAGCAGAATCCTCAGCTCGGCCACCGATACAAAATTTCACAATGGACGAAGACCCCAAAACAAGAAGACAGGCACGCAGGCACACACACACACACACATACACGCGCGCACACGAACACACATTTATACAACATTCGCGCACGCACTGTACTCAGCCAATACCCCAAGTTCCTTCTCTTCTCTCTTCAACAAACCCGAGACATTTAGCTCCGTCGGAGTTAGTATGATTACGTCACATGCTTCCCCATGCCTTGCTAGAATCACACTGGCTGTAAGATCTTTTTGGTGACGTGAACTCCCAAACATTCTGAGAGAATCATACCCATAGTCACATTTTTCAGTTGAACATGGACATAAGCGACTGGGAAAAAATGTAAGCTCCAATAACACGCCCTTCGGAAATCAACCTACGATTTGCAAACATCACACACATACAACCACCCTTCAAACACCCACACATCCAACAACAGCCGTATTTATAAGTATAAAAACTAAATTTTAACAAAAAAAAAAAAAAAAAAAAAAAAAAAAAAAAAAAAAAAACGGAGACAGAACAAGGAAAGTACATAAAAGCGAAACTAACAGCTATTATTAAGGGTTAAGGTCGGCCAGCCACGGCCCGACGGGGGGGGAGGGGCCGCAGGTGGCGTCTCTACTTAGAAGTCATCATTCGCACGAATTCTGCAAAAGAAAGTCGGACGGAAAGTCTGAGGGCGACTCATGCAGGGTAAGAAAAAAAAAGAAAAAAATCAAATAAATAATAATAAAAAAATAAATAAATAAAAATAAAGGTCTACTTCTACTGTTTTCTTATAAGGCAAAATAAAATGTAAATAAACAAAATGACAGATGGCAGACCAACAACACATCAATGTGTAGTTTTCTGTTCATGTGTATTATTCTCAAAAGACAACTACAAAATAAATGCTACTAGGTTTAGCAAATTAAATTGATAAACTAATAATTTCAAATATCTACAAACCAAAGAAACTATAAAGGGAAGAAAAAAAAAGGAAGAGTAATCATGCAACGAGAAGAGGAAGTTAGTGCATGCGATGAGTGCAAAAAAAGCCGGGAAGTACTAGTGCAACTCAAGTGACCTTGAAAAAGTGGGAGGGGGATGGAGGGGGGAGAAGAAGAGGAGGGTGAGAGAAAAAAAAAGGGGGGGGGGGAAACTGCCACCAATGGGGTTGCTTAGGTGTGTGCCATGCAAACGACGCAGATTTTCGTTCCTAATTCAGCCAATATATATCCTACGAGACCAGCTATGGACTGCTTACCAGATGCCCTCCACCTCTGATTTCCAGGTATAACCATATTAATGAAAAATAAGTACATTCTGGTAGTTTCCAAAATGCCCACACCACCTTACAGGAAAGGTTGAAACAGTTGTCCCTCCTTGACACCCCAACTTCTGCAATGCATTCTGCAAGAAGTGGGAGTGGAGTGGCTTCACAGTCTCCCTCCCATTTCATCGAGTTCTGTTTTCCCAACGTCCATGCTCTTTATAATTTACTCATTTTCTGCATTCCCAACCTTTGCAAGGCAAACCATCGGCTTTTTTGAAGTCCAATTAGCTGTGATCACCGCACACCACACGCAGTACCTGAGACCCGTGCCTTGAAAGTGCTACTGTGCAGCAGAAATTTAGAAAACCATCTCCTGCAAGCCCCTACAACCCACGCACTCTTCCTCAAGCACTCAAAGAATTTTTTTTTACTTTTGTTCTTAATGAAACCAAATTTCCCTCGATTTCCAAGCACCGAGTGTTTCCGTGAGCTGCCAATAGATCCACCCAAGTTCTACCTCCGAGGAGACTCACAGGTGGAACTGCCCGCTATCCAATACACAAGTGAAAAGGTCGCAGCGAGGGCCACAAGTCTTCGCCTCTCGGACCTTTCGAACTTACCCTCATAATTGACCTGACCGTCGCCGTCAATATCGGCTTCCCTGATCATCTCATCGACTTCCTCGTCAGTCAGCTTCTCTCCGAGGTTGGTCATCACGTGCCTGCAGAAACAAGGCTCATAGAGAACGTGGACAGGAATAACACCAGCAACATATTCAGTTAAATTAGTAAGTTTGCCACGTCTTCTGGAATAGGGTCCAGTGCCCCTCCAACTGACCTGAGCTCGGCCGCAGAGATGAAGCCGTTGCCGTCCTTGTCGAACACCCTGAAGGCTTCCCTGATCTCTTCCTCGGAGTCGGTGTCCTTCATTTTGCGGGCCATCATGGTGAGGAACTCGGGGAAGTCGATTGTGCCATTGCCTGCGAGGGAACGACGGGTTTTAAAACACGCCACAAGGACAAAAGGAGCAACAGAATCATTCTCATTAGAAAACTCAAAACAAGATGACATGAACCCCGCCCTAACTGCCAATTCCTTCGCCCTTAATCCCAAGTCAATTACGACAATTTGCAAGCATACAGGAAAGGTAGGATAAACAAACACGAGACTCGCCATCTGGCAAACAAAAAGGTCATTACTGAACGGTCCACGTGGTCCTCAGCGCAATCATCGCCACACAATGGACCACTGTCGAGGCCAGCTGGTGGAGATCCAATCAACCCATTCATAAATTATCACGAGTATCTCGTGTACAGACGCGGAGCAGAACGTAAACACTGGCGCTGTTGCTGCTGCGCTTCTTCCCCTCCTCCAGCCTCTTCCGTTTATCACCAGCTCCCTCTAACCTCTCGCATTTTTTCCTTTAGGTTCATCCTCCTCCCCAGTGTCCCCCTCATATTCCATTGTTTCATGTCACTTCTCAACCTCGTGTCATCCTTCCCCTCCACCCTCTCCTCCTACATCCCTACCCCCCTCCCACCCTCCTCCCTGCCGCAATGTGCATGATTCACCCGGCCACAGCCCGGCGATGACTCACCGGCACACCGCCTGCTCTGCCCTCTCAGCTCGCACGCACGTATGAACGAACGCACAATTTCGCTCGGCTGTGATGATCTTTTATGCTCGTTATGAGAGTGACAGTGGCGTCATGGGCCAGAGGCTTACAATGCCTGCGCCGACGGTTGGCTCGAACTCCTTGGGGCGAGGAGAGGGGGGGGGGGGGGGGGCAAAATTTCGACACGGAAATTAATACCAAATGCTTATGTCTATCATTTTAACGTTCGAAAGGGAGGGGAGCGAAAGAGCGGGTACCCGTCTGATTGGTGATCTGCCGTTAGCTCATTGCAATTTGTAACGAATAAGGGTTACCTCTACTTTAGACATTGCTATTGTTGGAACCCCATTAGATAAACAAGACATAGGGCAAATCACCCGGAATCGAAAAAAAAGCAAGCCAATCCATCTTTCTCTTTTACTTGTGCTTCCAGTTACTTTTCCAATGCGTGAGGCCGGCGCTTGATGGTTGTTCATGAGTGATGCCAGCCGATACGCCTTACATGCGCTTGTTTGCGTCTGCGCATGTTATTTTTTTTTCGTGTGAACTTTCGGTTTCCTGGACAGATTCCCAAAGACTCCCTATAGCTTACGATTTTCTTACAGGAGCCGAAGAAAGTGCGCTCGCGAGACGACTATCAGCTGAACGAGGATATCGGACGTTGGGGGAAGAGAGTGCTAAGTGTGACGGGCTAACGGTCTCGTGCCAACCGCAATCTAAAGCGGTAGATGCTATTGTACGCATCCTGGCCCGGCTCTAACTGACAAATGCTTTATCTACGGCCAGGTGCAGCCAGCGGCGGGGTAACTCCAGTCGAGAGGATGTAAAAAGTGTGGAGCGAAAAATAGCAGAGGGGAGGAGAGAAGAGACGCGAGGGGCGTAGAGAAACAAGGATGGAAAAACGATTTACTATTATAGTATTAGAGACTCCTGGAATTGAAGATTAAGAGGCATTCGCCCCTCCAATGACCGTTCCAAAACGATAGCCCCAACACTCGTGAGATCTTGGGAGACGACAGGCGAGTACTGCGAGCAGCGACTTTGCAACAACAGCAAGAACTATCATGAGCAAAGGCCCGGAAAAGGCGAGTGCCGAGTTGCGTCGTGCGTTGTTGCGTTCTAAGGGCACAACGCACGGCTGTATCAAAGTGCGAGTGTTTACGCGCCGAGTAAACATTCGCGAGTTGGGCTGCCACTCGCTAAACTATTTTTCTTGGGGGCGCGTATACATGTCTAGGAGGAAGACAGGGGTTTAGCCCTGCGAGTTTTCTTCCGTCGCACAGTGACACCGAGGAGGCATTCTACTATGGGTGCCCTTCCCCACTCGCCCGCCCTCTACTCTGTGCTGCCCGGCCCGAGGCGACTTCGGAGACCGCGTGGAAAGAGAGGAAACCAAAAAATACTTGGAAGAGGTTAACACGCCCGCCTCGCTCCGAGAACTTGCGTTTGGCTCGTCCCTTTGCCTTTCGCGCGACCGACTGCCAGGCGTCCGGCCTTCGCTTGTAAACGAGGGCCTGTAACTATCAAATATTAGCTCCACCTTCTACAAACCAGCAGTGGAAGGCAATGAAGATCTACTCCAATTATAAGTATACGAACGAAAGGAAAATATGCGGAAGTGCGGTTCGGAAAAGAGCAAATGCGGAGAGGAAGCGAGGGAGAGGGGGAGAGGGAAGTTCCCCACGTGACACTAG